TCTCGCTCGTCAGTGTTTTTTCCAAGTTCGCGAACTGTCTTCCTCCCTTCCTTTGGTCCCTGCTCCGCCCCAGCCTTCCCGTTCTCGCCTCTCGTCTTGGTCCCCTCCTCCTGTTGGCTTTGTGAAGATCAACTTTGATGCTGCTGTTCGTCCTTCTGGGTGCTCGTCTGGTCTTGTGGTGCGCAGTTCAGATGGGCATGTGGCTCTAGCTTTAGGGTCTCTCCATCCCGGTATTGCTGATCCCTATCTTGCAGAGCTCCTAGCAGCTAGGGACGCCATCGCCCTTGTAGTCTCCAAAGTGCTGCCTCGGGTCATCATAGAAGGAGATTCAGAGGTGGTGATTCGGCAGCTTCGTCAAGGTGCTCTCTCTGGCTCCTTTGGAGATCCGGTGCTTCGGGATTGCTCCCTTCTCCTTTCTTCCGTCTCTTTTTCTTTAGAGTTTAGGGCAGTTCCTCGGACTGCTAACAGTGCTGCCCATAGAGTGGCGCAGAAAGCACTGTTACTCTCCCCTTTAGAGTTTTGCGCCTTTGATTTTGTGGGTTGGCTTCTCTGATGTATTGGGTTGGGCAGGGTCGGGGTAGATTGTATAGGTTTTCTCTTGACATTTCTTGGAAAAAAAAAAACAAAAAAACTTATAATAAATGTTAGGCAAGTTTAGATTATAAATATTTTTTTGGAATCAAAAGGAGCGGGTTAAATATATTTATGAATTAGTAGGTTTGTAGTGTTTTATGTCACAACTCAATGGTAATGTTGGCTACCTGTAACTTACAACTTCTGTTTCGTTCATGTTGGATGGAATTTAAATGGAGCTTTTTAACTAAATGGGCTTGTTCAACCTTAAAGTACTTTAATATATAAACTAAAGAGGAGAACGCACTTTGTTGCGGCGCAAGTGTAGATAGTGATAAATTGATATGGAAGTATGTGATTTCAATTGGTATTTGCACATTAATTATAGGGCAATGTCTATTTTTTACCCAAACTTTTTTCATATTCTTTTATTTTAACCAAACCTATAGAAATTCTATTTATTATCCAAAGGTATTATAATTTATCAAAGTCTGCGCATCCATTCTGTTACCGTTACTTATTTCGTCCACGTGAGAGGTGTAGGGATGGCAATTTCGACCTGGCCCGTTTTACCCGACCTGTTTGACCTGTTTTGGGGCGGGGCGGGGCGGGCATGGGTAGTCTTATCGACCCGACCTGCCCTGACCCGCCCCATTCTTGACCCGTTCTTATCTAAATTACATGAAATCTTAGTCAAATTACTTTGAATTTTCCTTTTATTGCATCATATTTTAGCTATAATAAAGTTGTAAATTAGTGAAAACCTCAATTTCTCCAATAATTTAACTACAATTGTCATAATATTGTTTGTTTTCTTAGTTTTATGATAAAAATAACGAATATTTCTAATGTTTTTCATATAAATTGCATACCCATTGGGTCGACCTGCCCCGACCCGTGACCCGTGATCAATTACCCGACCTGGACCCGCCCTGTCATGGGGCGGGTCTGGGTACCAAGAAACCCGCCCCGGACCTGCCCCATTGCCATTCCTAGAGAGGTGGGATTTTGTTTTGTTTTTTGATAATCTTTTTATTAAAAATAGTAAATGATGGTATTCTGACCGCCACGTAGGAAGTCAACTCATTATGGTCATACTTAGTCAGCATTACTAACAGAAAAGTTGACGGAGAGTTAACGTTTGGATAATTTTTAGGAATTCAATAGGTTTGGTTAAAATAAAAGAATCTGAAAAAGGTTTGGATAAAAAATAGACATTGCCCTTAATTATATATACTAGGGAGATGTTGGCTGCGCTCCGCAGCGGCTTTGAGATTGGTTTATGAGTTTTTCTTTGCAAGCCCGCTTCATGAAAGAAACAGGTCAAGCTCAAACGGTACTTCAAGCTCAAGCTGAAATGGGACCGCTAGCTCTAACGTTTACCTTTACATAATTGAACAAAAGTAGTGTTAGTAAATGATATATGATTTATAATTGAATATATCTCAATAAATTGAATTATTGGACTCAACTGGTTTTCGACATAGATATATCACAAGCAATTTACTAACACCAAATTCAAAAACCTTGATACAACTTACAATAAGACATAACGAGTACAACGACATAATACAACCAAAAGTGGTATACATAACCTGAGTCCTTTTACAAACAAAAAAAATCAAATGATTTAGCTCTTGGATTTATGTCAACGCCAAATATGACAAAGTCACGGGAGCTGAGTCTTCATGGTCATACCATTCACACTCAATCCTAATGCCATATTACTCATTGATTGTATCCGTAAATCCAAGCAGAATACTAAACCACAAATGACTTAATCACCGGTTCATCTTGTAATCCATGTGTAATACACTTTCCTTTCATTATAAAGTTTACATGATTACCTCTAAATCTAATGAGATAATTAGAATGATCTAGCGTAACACTTACCTCTCTTCTGCCCCAGTTCACCTCCTGGTATTTCAATTGGAATTTCAATCTAATACCGCCACACTTGAGTGTCAGCTTTCATCAAGATTACCTCTAAATCTAATGAGATAATTAGAATGATCTAGCGTAACACTTACCTCTCTTCTGCCCCAGTTCACCTCCTGGCATTTCAATTGGAATTTCAATCTAATACCGCCACACTTGAGTGTCAGCTTTCATCAAAGTAGAATACGACAAAGTTCACCATATAAAATCAACTCCTAATTGAACAACCCACTCAGTCATTTGAACTCAATCCTTCCATTGATACTCAAAGTTTTCCTTCATCCAAAGTTCTAGAGATCAATCTCTCTAAAACTCTATATTTGATGCCATGAAATCGGCTATTGTAACATGCAACCATTTCATGGGAATTGGCTATCATGGTTTGAGAATCTTGGTTTTATTGCTAAACTGGCGTGATGGTATAAACCTATTTGATAAGTTTGGTGGCATTATTATTTTTGTGTTACTTCTACTCCTAAAAATTCATAAAAGAATTTAAACTAAACTGTTATTAGACATTCTTTCAAAGACCAAATCACATATTTATAGGAAGCACGCCGAGAAATCCTAATACTACTCGGCCCTTATTTGAACACTTAATAATAGTTATTCCCTTCCTTCCACTCGGCGTCCTATTCATTTAGGGGTGGGCATCATCCGATTCGGTCTAGAACTTAATTGAATTTACTAAGAGGATCGGACATAAAACAAAGGATGAGAACCAGACCAAAAATATGTTTGGTTCATTTGGTTCGATTCGGTCCGGTACCAATCCAATTTCGATTCATCTCTTCTTCATACTTAAAATCATTTATAAGACAAAAATAAAAATGAAATATATTCAATATGATATGATTCGATCCAAATATTGATTCAGTACAATTTGGTCTGGTGTGAATTGGGTTATTGCCCACCCCGACTTTCAATTATCCCTAATTATAATCCAATAGTTAGTAAAATACGGTACGGGTAAGTTACGTATAAAATACATACAGATATTAAACGTGGTATACGTGTTTTATACGTGTTTAGTACGGGAGCCATCAAATAAACGGAAATTAAACAGTTTGACAATAATCCGGATACAGAAGTTTTAAACGGATAAAATACGTACAGGTACATATACGTGTATTAAATGGAGTATTTACTATTTACTAACTATATTATAATACTCGTATTCATAAACATAATAATCCTAAAATATACCCCAAACCTTCCTTAAGTAGCCAAGGTCCCCAAATATAACATATTCCATGTAGTAAGTAATAATCCCCACTGAAGCTATATATGACGTTGATGAATCCTTGGTGTTGAACTGTTGATGAATCCTGCGGGTCCGCAAAAGAAGAATGACAGTGGTGCAAACTAAAAATTCTTATGCAACAATAATTTATTGCAACTTTAATTAGTAACGAGCATATATTATGTGGTCCATTATGGTGTTTTGTTCGTATTATACTATTATTAGCCTAAAATTAATTACACTTTTGTTAGTAGTATTGACTTGAGAATATGATATTGACTGAAAAGAGATATATAACAGTCAACATCCCATTTATTCGAGGGTGTTTTAATTATACATACACAAATTAGACCTATTTGTAGAACTTTAAAAGTTTAGGTACTAAAATGTGATACACAAAAGTTTAGGTACTGAAATTTAATGTTCCATCAATACTTTGAGGACTTATATGCCCAAAAAATAAATTTATTTTACAAATCTAAAGATCTATTAAGTTTAGGTACCGAACTGTAATTTGCATAGTTGGAAGGCGAGTGAAAAATAAAACAAAGAGTAAGTAGATGATGGAAAGGTTTTGACCAAATCTTTTAGTTGGCCGTCAATACAACAATCAATCATTTTCACTGTAGAAATTTATTGACACTTGCTTATGTAGATGTCGCATATTTTGTTACATGTAATGTAGTTAGTGGAAGTTTGTTTAGTACCCCGTAAATGTACTAAATGAGCTTATAAAATCGCTCTTGCAATATTTTAGAGTCGTCTCTCTTTCATAATTTATTTAGTTTCACGTAATGAGCAAATATAGAATGGTCTAATCTTCTCCTACACTTGAGTGGTACAACATCTTGTATGCTACAAACTAATTAAATTTATACTTTTACGTTATGGTGGATTGGATTCATGGATTGGTGCAAAAGGATTTGTGAATTAGATTTATGGATTCAAGTGAAATCTAAACATTGGACCAATATGTAAATTTTAAAAAATTGTAGGTACGAAAATCTCATAAAATTTAGATACCAAAACATAATTGTTCAATGATTTTACATTAAAAACAAATTTGGGGTATCGAAATGTAAAATGTACATTATAGTGATTTAGTTGTAATTTAATTAAATTTAGAGTATCAAAATGTAAAATATATAGCCGCCCAATCAGCTTGCGAGTTTAGGCAACAATAACCTCACTTATGCTTTATATATATTGATTAACAATGCATACTTATCAGTTCCTGAGAAGTGTTGGCTTCGTTCATTGTTTGTAACTTTTGTCCACAAACACTGCTCGAAAAATATAAATACAGTTTAACTCAAGAATGTTGCATAGCCAAAGTTCGCTCAATTATATCCCATACAATGCATACCTTTGAGCACGTATGGACAACAATTGTATTTAAACATACGAAGCGGAGGTAGAGTGACACGTTCCACACCAAGCATGGCCACAAACAACCAAGGTGCGAGTGACCTAAAAGGAAATGGAAGAAAACACAGTAGTACAGGATAGCAAAACTCTTATGAAACAGTAACTTTCTTATAGCAAAGGGAGGCGGATAGACTTGTTCTTCATCTTCTTCCACACAGAAGACGAAACTCTGGAAAAACTTCCCCCTGCGAAGCTTCCTGCTAGGAGCTTTTTCTTCTTCCCCTTCCTGACAACTTCCTTCTCCTCATTTCCACTTCTTACTTCTTCTTGAGCCCACACATAGGAAAACCAGACAGAAAAAGAGGGAACAAAGACCCTGAAAAATCAACATTTGTTTCTTTTTTAGAAGCACGAAAAGAAACATAGTCAATAACAATAATACAAACACAATCCTAAAATCACCAAAAACAACATAAAAGAAGTTAAATGAGGAAACAGACAAGGCGGCAGCAAGCTTCCAAATGCTAGGTGAAGAGGCAGAATCATCCACAAATCTTGGACAATAAGGTTGGCAATCAACTTACTACTATCATTCATCACGATCATTTTATATCATCTCTATTCTCTAGTCCTACATTTCTTCGACAAATTAGTTGCAAGAGTTCTAAAACTCAAATCATTCCAAATTACCCCAAATATGTAAACCGACACATTTCCTTTCGGCAAAACCAGAAACCACCATAAAGAAACTCTCCAAAATCGAACTCACAATGTAACACCCACCATTTTCCAGAGTCGAACTCACCATGACAACAACCAAATCCCCATTTTCAGCATTCCATCATACCATAAACAAACAATTTCCAGCCTTGCAAGCGACCAACACACACAACCATTACAAAACCCCAAATTCCATAATCACATACAACAGCAGCAGATACTTCATGAATACCATGGATTCCATTATCAAATCACCCCCCAACATAGAAACACATCAGGCAGAGTTCTAAAACCATATAGCTACTATAGTCTACATTCTAGAGTTGTCCATAGAGACACAAGATTGCATACCATCTAACTAATTCCTTTCCCTTTCTCATTCAAAGAGATCACAAACAAACCTTGTGTTTTAATCCCTTTTACTTTTTCTAGTAAAGGACATTAGCTTAGACTAAAACATCAACCTTAATCCCAAAAACTTACCAAAACAAAACTCTAACTCTTGTCATTGTCGTCGCCGGCAAAACACAGAGCTGCCGGCAGCGACCCTCTTCTTCCTTTCGCCTCCATGATCGAAGTTGCCAAAATCCAAAAATACCCTACAAATTAGTCCGAACCCCCAAACCCAAAGAAAAACAAATAAAAGTTAGAATCATCAAGTGAAACAAAAGATGCCTACCAAATCCAATTTCCAGTCGCTCGGTTCTAATGACGCCAGGCAACGCCGACGGATCCCTGAGCTATCGGCACCCCCTAATTCTCTTTTCCACTCTAAAATCGAAAACCCATAAAATATAAGCGAGTGACAGTTCCTGTGAACCCGCAAACCAAAACAAACAAAAAAAAAACCTAAAATAACTTACCATAGGGCAACCACCCTGCCGCCATCATCTTCGTCGCCGGCGAGATCCGGGAACGACGCCGACGACTCCCTTTCTTCTATTTCTTCGACCAAACCCAAAACCAAGAAAAAGCAATTAAAACTTTAAATTCCCCAAATACCCAACAATCAAACCTTAAAATCAACATGCAAATAGAAACATTACCTCATGTCTCCGCTGCCGTCTCGTCGTCATCGACGGGGTTTGATTGCCATCACCCTCGTTGTCTTCTTTTTTTTTCCTCTGGCCATTAGCAGAAAGACAGCAAGGAAGAAAGACGAGGACGAGCGACGGTTTTGGCTTTGCCGCCGTCAGTCCCCTTCTGTTTTTCCCTTCGGAGAGGAGAGAGGAGAGAACGAGAGAGATCAGAGCGGCTTAGAGCTGACAATGGGTCGGGTTGAGTCGGGTTTTGCCAAACCCAAACCCATGGGTTTATCTTTGAAAAAAACAGGGGTAAATCCCATTGGGTTTGAAAAACTCAAACTCAACCCAACCCTCATGTCTCCGCTGCCGTCTCGTCGTCATCGACGGGGTTTGATTGCCATCACCCTCGTTGTCTTCTTTTTTTTTTCCCTTCTCGCCATTAGCAGAAAGACAGCAAGGAAGAAAGACGAGGACGAGCGACGGTTTTGGCTTTGCCGCCGTCAGTCCCCTTCTGTTTTTCCCTTCGGAGAGGAGAGAACGAGAGAGATCAGAGCGGCTTAGGGCTGGCAATGGGTCGGGTTGAGTCGGGTTTTGCCAAACCCAAACCCATGGGTTTATCTTTGAAAAAAACAGGGGTAAATCCCATTGGGTTTGAAAAACTCAAACTCAACCCAACCCTTGGGTATCCGTGGGTTCATGGGTACCCACGGGTTTTGTCGTAAAAAATTTACAATTATAAGTTCTTATCAAAATTAAAATCAAATATCAATCTCTCAATACAAATTATCCATATATAAAACACAATTCTAGAAAATTCAAGCAAATCACAAATTAACTATACAAATTGTTCAACACCAATCTAGAAAACTCAAGAAAATTGAAGCAAATCACAAATTATCCATAAATAACATGTTTAATTGAAAGTTTCTTTCTTGCAATTAAGTTTCTTTATTCTCCACTCCACTCCATAACATCAACTTCATTCTACACAATTAAAAATAAAAAATTAGACATGTCTCCACAAACATAAATAAGAATAGTTGGTTAGAATATTAAATATACCGAAAAAATTAATTATATGAGTGGGCGGGTACTCACGGGCCGGGTTACCTAAACTCAAACCCAACTCAACCCGGTGAATAGTGAACGTGTTTAAACCCAAACCCGGCCCAAAACCCATCAACACGGATTTTACCCGCGTTGACCGGGTTGGGTCGGATGGGTACCCCGTGGGTTCGGGTTTTGTAGCCATCCCTAGCGGCTATGGTTAAGCTTTTACCCCTAAAATTGTGTTCATATACCTCTCCGCATCTGACCGTTTTGCCCCTGCCATATTCAACAAAAATGCAAAAAAATAGGCAAAATACACCCCATAGCAACAAGCCCACACAACTATCCACTTTGTGCCAACAATAGCCAAATTTTGAAAAATACTGAACAATAACCATGTTTTTTAAACTTGAGTGCACGATATAGCCATTTCCTTTAAATTATATAACGCCTTTAACCTCTCCGTCAGTTTAGTGGACGGGATGCTTATGTGGTTGCCACATGTTCGACACCTATTTTCCACATGGACGAACTATTTCCACCTAATTACCACGTCATTATCTAAAAACCTTATCCTATAAAAATAATCCCAAACCTCCCCTGCTGCGAATCCCTTTTCACAAGTTCTAATTTCCCCTCTTCTTCGCTAGGGTTCCGACTCGATCGCTCCGTCGCAGAGCCTTGTTTTCTCTCCAGTCCAGCTCGATCTATTTCCCCCCGACATCTCTCCCCCCGACGACGCCTCTTTCCTAAGACGTTTTCCTACCCCGACGACGCCCCTCTCCCTCGACCTTTCTCCCCAGACGACGCCTCACTTCCCCTCGACCTTTCTTCCTAGACGACGCCTCACTCCCCCGACTTCTCTCCCAAGACGTTTCTCTCCCCGTCGATGCCCCTCCCTCTCGACAACAATTTCAATCATTTCATAGAGGACTCGGAGTGGCAAATCGGTGAAGGTCGGCAATTCGGGTTCAACAAGTGTGAACAATTCAGGGCTCGTCCGTTGCACGCATAAACACCTTGTGTCCTTCAAACCTTCGGAACTGATCTGAATCCAGGCCGACAATTCTACGGTTGTCCTTATTAGAAGGTAACAGAACGCTATTTGGATGACTCATTTGGTTCGAAGCATATATGTGATGATTACGGATGGTTTGCCAATGCAGGATTCGAAGAAGAACTACGGTTGTTTTAGGTGGGTAGGAGAACACAATTCTGAAGCTGGAAGAAAGTAAAAAATGAGCAGAGTGCAAGGCCGAGAGGATGAAGAAAGAAAAACAACAGGTGGCTGAAGAATGTAATGGCGGTTCATGATGCTATGTTAGTTGAGACTAGGAGTATCAAAACTAATGTCAAGCTGAATCGATATATGTTGACTATTTTATTGATCGTGAATGTAATGGTGCATGTAGTCATCTATAGTATGGAGTAGGAGTAGTAAGGTAGTTCTGGTTGTAATGTGGAACACTCGCAGTTGTAATCAAAGGAATGGAAGAATTTGAATGCAAGATCAATATTATCATCCTTTAGCATTCCTTGAAATCAACATTGATCAAGCGGACACATGTTCCTGATTACACCTAAAGAACATAATGCAAACTTCTTAAAACTACATTGTACCTAAAGAACATGTTCTTGATTACACCTAAAGAACATAATGCAAACTTCAGTTGTCATCAGCATACGACCAAGTGAGTACATGTCATAAGGATGTTCTCATGTTCCTGATTAAACTTACATAACCGATTGTAGAGGGGGTGAAGGTCCACTCTCTCGCACCATTACATGAGCCATCCAAAATACACCCCAAATACCATTACACAAAAAAACATGGCTCATGTAACATATATAATTGTCGTCTAAGGCTGAGATGGTGGGGGCTGACTTCCTTGCAGCTCTACCGCAGTTGCTTGAACAGCTCTAGGTTGTTGAGATGGACTAGCTCTAACAGCTCTTGCACCTCCATTAAGCTTAAATAACAACACCAAGGTAATTAAGTTGACAAACATGAAATTGAATAGTATAAGTGGTTACAAGTAGAGGTATTAAGATGTTATACTAACTCGTACATAATGGTTTCCGGTTCTCTCATTCACATAAAACCCACCCAGTCATTGCAACACGCAACTCCCTTTGTATTGTTCTTCAATCAGCAACATTCAGTCTCACATCCTACAGGAGACATTAATCTAGTGTTCAATATATTCGTTAAAACTCTGCATCCATACATTTAAGTTCAATTACCTGTATCCCATTCCCTGTATTCAGAGGACAAGTCCTCGCATTGTGATTAGAGTGTCCACATTTTAAACAATGATATACTCTCTTTCGTCCTTGAGTGTTGCCAGCATCTTGTGGTGCAACTCGTTTTCCTCTAACTCTTGTATTATCTGCAGCAAACATTGCATCAATCAATTTTCTAATACAATAACAAAATTAAGTTAACAAATAGGCAATGCAATCTCAATCTCACCACTGGTTGGTAAACAACGGGTTTCTTGCATGATCTAGCATTGTGACCCTCCCCACCTCGCATAGTCAATTCTTCACCATGCCTTGTGGCTCTTGTTTCAAACTCAATTGCTGCCATCCTCTTGTTCTTCTTTGGTCTGCCGGGCATGGATATGCTCTTAGGAGGGTGAACAAGATAGCTTGAAGCTTCAGGCCACACTTGTCTGCATCCAAACAAGGAATTCCATTCTTGTATGCTCTGGATACCGTGCTGGTATGGTAAAAGGAGTGCACGTAATCAACCACTTCTAGCCTACAATGTGTGATGGCAGAAATGGCATGGCAGCAAGGTATAACTCTTAGCTCCCAATAACCACAAGTGCAAGTGCATCCTAGAAGATCTAGAATGTACCCATCACCCCCAATTTTGACTTCACACTTAGCAAACATGGTCTGTATGGCAACACATAACCTGGCAAATTCCTTCTCTTTCTCCACATGTTTCCTGATTCTTGGACACAAGACATCTGCGATCTCTCCCAACATCTTGTACTTGATCAAGACTCTGTCCATCATATATCCCCTAATGCCCTCCAACATATCTATAATACGAAACCCTCTATACTTGACAATGCTTTTGTTCCACGTCTTGCATATATTGCTCTCAACAGAGTTACATTTAGGAACCATTGACAAGAATGCATGACAGAATCTAGTTGGTTCAGCAGCCATGAAATATGTATATGGAGTAGTAACATAACCTGTACCTTCAATGGACTACATTTCCGAAGTTGCCTTCTTCCACTCCACTTCGTTGCACGCATATACAACCCTCCAAAACTGCTTTCGAACTCAATCAGTTTTGTGCTTTTCCTTCCAGTTGGAAAACACATGGCGAGCACATTTGCGACGTTCAACTTCAACCAAGATCTCATGAATGGCCCCAACTAAACCCTGCAATGAAACAAATTGGTCAGTTTTTCGCACACATATTATGACAGAATATTGGATTACTCGAAGGTAAAGAACCACGAAATCATACCTTCTGTTGGTCTGATATAACTGTCCACCCCCTGCCATCCAAAATATAAAGATCTTGAGCTAGATTTCGCACAAACCATGACCAAGAATTGCGGTTCTCTCCCTCAACCACGACCGAAGCAATCGGAAACATCTTATTATTCCCATCTTTACCCACATATGTGAGGAGCATGCCCTTAACCTCCCCTAGAAAACAACCATCCAAACCAAACATTGGTCCAAAGCCCTCTATAAAACCCTTCCTCAATTTAGAAAAACTTACATAAAAGCTCTGAAAGTAACACTTGTCACCACTTGGATGAGCCTCAACTTCTAAATGGAAACACCCCATTTCATCATGTTTCTTTAACTCAGCGACGTAGCTCCTTAACTTCTTATACTCTTCGACCAAAGAACCACTCAAGAGCCCTATAGCCTCCACCTTTGCCCTCTAACAGGTTCTCCTCTTAACCTCCATGTTGTGTTTTAACTTGAGCTCATCAACGATTTGGTCCGGTGCCCATTCAGGATTAATCCTGAATCGCTCTAGCATATCTTTTGCTATCCACTTCACAGTTAATTGGTTAACTTGAAGCTGCCTTGAACACGAGTGTGGTTCCCCAACTTTCCTCACCATGAAACTTTGATCCTTCGTAAACCAGCTTTCATATAGTCGCCACTGCAGATGGGTGCCTTATACTTGACCTCCCGCCTGGTCAAATTAGTCCTCAACCACCTAACACTTGCCCCAGCTGCAGCAAAATGTTGGATTATGGCATCTTTGAACTGGTCCGGACTCTCAAACTTCAGTTTCACCACAAATTGTAGGGCCTTGTGGTCACAAGTAAAGTCATAATAATGTGGAGCATCATCATAAGGTTCACCACCGTTCTCATCAGACAAGTTGGGACACACATTATCGGAATTCTCGGACATCCTATAACTTGAATGATTCGAACCCTCTTCGCCACATTGCTCAGGCTGAGATAGATGTTGGTTGGAAAGGGAACAATTTGATGGAGAATTCCCTCATTGAATCCCTTCTTCCTCTTATTCCCTGCAACTTCATTGGCTGCCTCATCGCCTCCTTCCTCCTCACTTTCTGAAGACAAATCCTCAAAATCATCTAACTGCTCCACCTCTTCACCACCTAACACTTGCCTGGTCAAATTACTCCTCAACCACCTAACACTTGCCCCAGCTGCAACAAAATGTTGGATTATGGCATCCTTGAACTGGTCTGGACTCTCAAACTTCAGTTTCACCACGAATTGTAGGGCCTTGTGGTCACAAGTCAAGTCATAATAATGTGGAGCATCATCGTAAGGTTCACCACCGTTCTCATCAGACAAGTTGGGACACACATGATCAGAATTCTCGGACAGCCTATAACTTGAATGATTCGAACCCTCTTCGCCACATTGCTCAGGCTGAGATAGATGTTGGTTGGAAAGGGAACAATTTGATGGAGAATTCCCTCATTGAATCCCTTCTTCCTCTTATTCCCTGCAACTTCATTGGCTGCCTCATCGCCTCCTTCCTCCTCACTTTCTGAAGACAAATCCTCAAAATCATCTAACTGCTCCACCTCTTCACCACCTAACACTTGCCTGGTCAAATTACTCGTCAACCACCTAACACTTGCCCCAGCTGCAACAAAATGTTGGATTATGGCATCCTTGAACTGGTCCGGACTCTCAAACTTCAGTTTCACCACGAATTGTAGGGCCTTGTGCTCACAAGTCAAGTCATAATAATGGAACCGTTAGCCTAGTCAACAATTCAAGTTCGCCCGTTAAAGTATTAGATGGAATGACTATTTCTCTGTATTTTTCAAAATTTGACTATTGTTGGCACAAAGTGGATAGTTGTGGCTATGAGAGTGTATTTTGCCAAAAAAATATTCCTCTGCTTATTCGAACCTTTATTCTCCGGCTTCAAAACATTAGCAATGAATTTGTCGGCCAGTTATACTAACTACTTAACAATATCTAATTCAATAACCCACAAAATCTTACCATTCTTGATAAAGTTTGATATGAAAATCACTAATCAATATATTGTGATTAGAATCAACCGTTTAAATACGGAGTAGAACTAATTTGCCTCCAAATACGTATTACATGTCCTCCTATTATGTCGTATTAATTATTCATCTAGTTTCAATTTTTTTTCAAAATGAATAATTTAATATGAAACCACATATCAATAGAACATGTGTGTTTTATTATATTCTAATTTCCCCTCCAATTACTCAATTACCAATATATATTTTATAAAAATTTCAAATTATTATCTTAATAATGATCAATAGATAGTGTGAAGATCACACTTCAAATCACACTTTTTAACCGAACTACGTGGACTTTGATCTCGACTACTCAGGTACGTAGGCAAACAAATAGGTTCGAGTCCAACTAATAAATTTCTCACCTTAAATCACAAATACCAAATGACATCTATTAAATAAGAAAATCAATTATTATCGTGATCACGTATCAACAGAAAGGTGTTAAGATCCCCTTTCTAAAATCTATCAACTTTATCGAACTACACGAACTTTGATCCCAACTACTCAGTTACACAAGCAACCAATAGAACGGAGTCTGACTAACAAAATTTCTGAACAATTAACATGCAAGCATTGACATTTCAAATCAATCAATTACAATCGAACTATGTGGACTTTGATCACGAATACTCGGGTACGTAGGCAACTAATAGGTTCAATTCCAACTAATAAAAAACTCTTTATTTACTTTCGAGAACTACGTCAATAGACGTATGATCAAATAAATTAATTGAATCCTATAATTAATTACACAATAAGACACAAATAATGTATACACCCAACCCCTGAAACTTATCGATTTAGGTAGTACCAATTTTTGGGCGTTGTGGGGTGTCCATACACTTCCCCACACGTACCCGTACTCCCAAACCCATAATTTAAAGATTTCTTAG